TCCCCACTTGAAAGGCCCTGCTGGCATAACCATATCATTTAGACGTGTGAAAAAAAATCCTGCCCACATCACTACACCCTGCTGTAAATGTAGGTCAAGCAGCAAAATAGCCCATTCAGAGACTGGGCTTACGGAGTACCTGTTAAATGGTTTTGCCAATAAAAGCTGTCTTTCTGCCGCGGCTCTGTGGCAAGGAGATACCACTCCTTTACAGATCTTTTCATSTTTAGGCAAACTCTGTTGAAAACTGAAGTACCACTAACTACTTCCTGATGGTAAGCTGGGAATACCGGGCTATCTCTGATCTTAAAAARCCCAGCTTTTACTGCCATTATCATGGCAGTTCTCAAGAGTCAGCAGTTAAAGGTCTTTTCCTACAGGACTTCAGCCTACACTGCAAACAGATACATCCCATACCCACTTACTGCCCCATCTGCACAAGACTAATTATGTTTTGGTTGTCTCTCCTTAATCTGGTCCTAAGATTCCCTCCCTCCCCATACAGCCCTCAGAAATCAGCCTGCTGCTTTCAAAGAAGCCCCTGGAGGCCAAATTTTCAGGGGAGGTGACCCATCTAACTTTCTTTGGCTGCCTTTGAGGCCGTTCCAACTCCAGCGCCTCCAAGCCCAGCAGAAGTCAGGAAATGAGAGCATATGGTAAATAGTTTAACTCACACTAGTTTAGCTTTCAATTCTAGCATGRTTTTTCAGTGTTTTCCATCTAGTAAGATGCCTATTAACTCAAAAGGCTCTGGYTCAAGAGAACAAATGCAATGACAGTGGACAGATACCAGAGTMCCAAAACTTGTTGCTAAAGAAAGTTGGGTATGTTGTACAACTTAAATATCCTATATCTATTCAGTTTTTTTGACAGATGAAACCTGAGCTCTGAAAAAAATCATCTGTTAAGGTTCAAAGCTCCGCAGGTTTAAAGCAAAACAAACATGATAACCAGTATTAGGTTTCTAAGCACATTYAGAACACTGAGCTTGCCAGCAGTCATATATTTACAGACTTGCAGCATATGCCAAATAACAGACAATGAATCCAATAATTGACAATGAAGCCTCTTGTAAAGCCACTTGMAATAGCAGCTGTTGCCTCTGTGGAGAAAATGTCTTTCAAAATATTACCTCCGAATACTTCTTTTTTGTCTTGCTCCCTCTCTTACGGAGCCAGGGTGGATGCTATGAAAGAAATAGACATTAATTAGTGTGGACTAATTCTCCAAAAGAATACAGTGTAAACATCTTCCTSCTTAATTTACCTGATATTGACCACATACACAGTGTAATTCCAGTTCTGGAAAGTACGGTTCAGCTGAAAAACAGGAAGACATTGATCACATGAACGGTGAGATGTTAATGGGGCTCTTTGTTGCTTAAGGCRGTGTTAGAATTTCACCCTTCTGCCCCTTGAGAAATCCCCTTCAGTTTTGCAAAGCAAAGAGAACACTCACTTTTCAGTGAGGTGRTTGTTGTACAACTGGTAGCGAGAGATGTGGCTTTTTTGTGGACAGAGGGAAATCTGTACAAGGTCATGACACCGTGAATAGGTGAGCATGCAGGATGCTGACCTTTTCCTTTTCTCCCTCTCCTCCACATCTTAAATGCTCAGATACACTTTGATTAGGATAGATTTAATGAAAAAGCTACCGGGTAAATTTTCACCTGAAAGTCTTCAAACTTCTGATGATCTTCTTTTCAGACCTTTGTACCTTTCATTCTGAGTCTGCAACGACTGCTCAGTTTTCCCCCTGAGAAACACTTTTGCATACTCTGCTAGGTCCAAGTGATACCYTTCTAGATTCTTTGGCTCAGGTACCTACGTACTTTGGCTGGCTACTGCTGCTAAGGGAACAACCTTGGCAGGTGTGGATGACTGCAGCTCTGGTTTGTAGATTATTACAGGTGGTTTCCTTAGCTTCTGCGAGCTGAAAGCTCCAGGTTTATTGAAAGGAAAATAAAGAATTATTGCCATATTTCATGATACCATATTTTTGTGCAAGTACTTGGTATAAAGGGTTCACAAATTGTGTGAGTGCAATTGTGTGAACTGTCAAAAAGGACAGACAATATCTCTATTTAGACAGGAAGAAYTTTCAGAGGCAAAAACTTCAAGAATCCCTCATGCAGAGAGCCCAAAAAGCTCTTGTCTGCTAAAATGGGCTAAAAAACCAGGGAGTACTAGAAACSCCAGCAACTGACCTATGGCAGAAGCCTTCTAAAATAGACAATGTTAGGATAGATTAGGAAGGTTTATTGCCTCACACAAATCAATACTGTCTGTCATACTGTAACGTCAAACCTGTATTAGCTTTTAGGGAGAAAAATTTTGTCCTGTATAGAGATGTTAGAACTGAGACATGTACCTCTTTTGGTGGACAATTCTGATTTCTCCATACTTTTCAAAATCTCATGTACTATCTACATTTCTTAGGAAACTAGCTGGTAAAGTGCAGATATTTCAAAATTTTATCCATAGTGATGGAGAGCCCCAGCTAGACCTGAATTCTGCTGCACAAATCAATAAAACAAAGACATTTAGAGAACACATGAAGATTTTTTGGTAGTGATAATTTTTCCCTTTTCCAGCTGATAACAGTGATTCATATTTGTAATCATACAAGAAAGAAAACTTAACTTACCCATTCTGCAACGACATCATGTACTTTCGACACCGAGTTGGGGTTGGAGCTAGAGACAGTTATAGATATCCTGTAGAAGAGCCCACCTGTCCATTGAAAACAGCATAATGTTAGAAACTGAGCAAATTTACCTTTTTAATAATGAGATTTAGCTTCATGGTTAATATAAAACTTGTGCTGGACCTCAGATACAAGGTTACCTCACGCTCTTGTTGGCATTATGAACTCTGAAATTATTAAGCCCTGCAGGTTTGKGCCCATTCTCACTAGTTCCGTTGGTTTTGACAAGAACTCCCTCCCCACCCCTCCATATTTCAGAGATGCTTGAAATGTGACATGGAAACTCTCAGACAACATACTTAAAAATAGTATTTTGCATATGCCTCTACTGTGGTGTGTGAATTCAAGATCATGAAATTGTCACGAATTAAAAAAATATTATAATTTTTTATAATTAGTCTGTAACCTAAGTTACAGACTGTAGTAGTAACAAGTCTGTAAACACTGAAAAATTCTGCTACTAGGCATATTGTTATAAGCCAGAATTGAATCACTGCAGATTAGACTTTAAACMTTGTGAGAGCAGACAAAGCTGGTCAATTAAAGTAACAAGGTAACTGAGGACAGAATTAGGTGTGAGAAGGAATATAGAACTCTTGTTTYCAAAGTGCAGTCTTGCTCTCAGGCCTGGCAATAGCCAGACAGTAGAAGAACCCACATAAGCTTTGCAAAACGGGCAGCTGAACAAACCGTCTTTCAGTCACAAAATGTGTAACACTTGGCTTGGTGCAATTTTATATTCAGAAAACTGTTTTCAAATGGCATTGGGTAAATATAAACTCTCTTTAAGCTCATGAGTGGGTAGGCAGCATTACAAGATTTCACATCTAATAAATAACATCAAATAATTTCATAGTTATTTTCTGTGTTAAAAGTCTGTACTTTTCACAAGCCAATTTTTTTCATTAAGCTACTAAACATTCTGTAAGCTCTAGTTGGGTAAAATTTCCCAGGATGTGGGGGAGGTTCAAGAACTTTTGGATCAATTCACTTGCATGTATGAGCATGTGTGGCATTGCTTGGTTCTGGGCTGTTACCAAAGTTGTGGGTATGYTGATCACAGAGACATGCATTTATATAATCTTATGTAAATCTTATGGAGACACTACATAGGACAGAGCAATAATTATACAGAAATCACTCTCTGTCTTTGATTGGAAAGGAACTGCTCTACCTTTCTGAATCTAAATAAAAGACCTCTTTTCCTAAGTGGAGCAAATGTCATAATTTACAAAWTCACAGGTAATTACTGAAATAAAGGCATCTGGAAAAAAATTTGAAGTCAGCATTTTTCARTTGAAGTGTGAATACCTTGGTTACAATTCATGAAATAGGTGGAGTATTGTTCTTTCTTTTCAATATGGAATTAACTATATGAACATTTAGATTGGTATGAGAATTCCTCTACAATAAAACACTAAGGAAGATGGTTTATTAGCTACCTGCTTTGGTAAGCTATGATTAAATTTTAGATATTAACAGTATGGACTTCTTTTTGATTTATTTCTTTTCTTCCTCTCTTAACTCAGGAGGCACACAAAATTGGTGCATAGTTTCATCTGAAAATGTACTTCAGTTTATTATTACTGTGATAGTTTCAAATWTAAAAAAAAAATCCAAAATTAAATCTTTGRAAGTAGAAATTTGGACTTTGGGCAAGTTGAAAACACTTGCAAGACCTGGATCTCCTTTATATGTATATTTCTCTGTATACACACATATTCAATTTCAAATCTATAATGTATCTTTTATATGTGCCATRCAGATACATACAAACAGAAAGTGTGCATTCAAATAAATTTTTTTGCATTCAAACAAATTCGAATATAATTATATATAATTATAGCCTTCTTTAGATAATTATGTATAGTGACAAAATCACCTTAATATAGGAATATGCAAAGTATTTTCAAAATCATACACAGTAACTATAAACTAGGCAATATCTTCAAGATCTCTCCCAGATGGTAACCCAAAGCATATTTTAATGAGGAAAAAAAAAAAAAGAAGAACTAATCTACATTTTAAAATACTCTCAGGAGACTGCAGTGGCAGACAGTAAAAACTAAAAATTATTCATTCCTCTTCAAACTAAACAGTGGAAATCCCACCTCAAAATGCTCACTGAAAAAAAAAAAGGCATAAAATTGGTGAAAACTGGCCAAAGACCATTTGAAAAATAAGAGGAAAAAATAGCCTGGAAAACACTTCTCCCTACATCTGCTACCAACTATAAAAATATAATGATCAATGAAATACAAATATTTTTTTTAAATTCTGTTAGAAAAATTATCCAAACATTTTGTTTTGAAAAATCTTTTCCTTTTGAAAGTGAAATCCTCAAAAATATGTAAGAGAAAAACATTCATACACTCCCAAACAACAAAATGGCATTAAATTATATAAAATACATGGCAACCAATGTATTATCCTCACAGTCTCATGAGAGCTGTCTTAGAGAAGTACACAAATATTAGAAATCACACATTCATGACATTTACTATCACTAAGATGTTACACATTCCCTTCTACTGTAATTAYATTRTTATTCCAAAACATCTTCATTTGCTAAAGGGTCCTATATCTAAAGGATGAAAGACAGCTACTTCTATTTTCAGTCTACAAACTGAATATCTAACAGATAAGATGATCTGGGGTTTTTTTTCTACATCTAACTTAATGGCTTGACATACTGTAGTGGCCCTCAGGACGACAGAGGCAGCCCAGCTCACTGGAGGAGTCACATAAACAAGACATAAGGATGGCAGCAGAGCTAAAAAGTTGATTCAGTGGTGGGTGAGAGGTGCTGTTGTGGCTTGTCCCAGATGGTAAATTGGCCAAGGAATAAACATGGGCTGAAACTGATGACTCGTGGTATGTCCCAGAAGAAACTGGTGTTTGGCTCTGCACGAGAGAGGGATAGATGGCTGCTGCAGCTGCTGCCAGAGCGCCTGTCAAGATGGTCTCTTTGTGCTGAGGCAAAGGCACCACATCATCCATTACTGCAGTTCTCCATGATTCCAGAACAGAAGAGAGATTTGCAACATGTCCATAACCAGCATTTTCCARATCCAAGGCATTAGTAGTAATGACAGGCATTCCTACTCTGATCCTGCTGAAGGATSCATACACCTCCCCTCCTGAATTCCACTCAGAAAGCCTTGGTATGATTGTTGATGTCAGAACAGTGAAGTCCCTTCTGTCTTCATTACTGTCAATGATTTCTTGTTCTACTGCCCAGAGAGAGTATCCCGGACTGGCCATTTGATTTTCAATAGAGTTTTTGCCTAAAACAGTTAGATAACTTCTCAGTGTTTCTGTTGTTGGCAAATTTAGCTCTCCTACATCCCACTGAGGYAGCAAGCTTGGAGAAATTGTATCAAGATGGTTCTGAAAACTTTGTGGGAGTGGAGGTGTGGAACAGCTGTTAGGAGACACACTGACTCTCAATTTCGAGTTTGATTGAAGAAGCTGTCTCAATTCCAAAGACATTGGAAGGAAGTCAGAACTCACTGAACTGATGTTTTTTAAAAAAAACCCTGCATATTTTTGAGCTTTGCTTCTTGCTTTATCACTGGTATTTGTTACAGCATCATTCTCCAGAAGATTTTGTGACTGTGGTGTTCCGTGTGTTCTTGCACTGCTTATCAAACCCTTAACTATCCAAGTAACCTGAGTCCCAGGGGTACTGATCAAGAAAGGAGCTCGGCTATCCCTTGAAAAAGAAGGCTGGGCTCCTGAATGTGTTGGAAAGACAGAAACAGGCTGATGCCTATTGTTTAGGAAGGCCATGTCAGTTTGATCACTTAAAACATCAGTCTGAATCTGCACGTGCAAACTATCTATGGAGTCTTCAAGTACCTGATCAAAAGAAGTCACCTGTGCCCATACAGAGGACTGAGTGAGAGGTGCTTCCAGGGAAGGGAAAGGAAAATCAAAATATAATTCACTGTTGGAAGTCACATTTAGGTTTGCAATGTTCATTGTTGACTGCAATTGTGATATTGTCCTGCCATTACTTTCTGAAATTCTCTCTGGAATAAACAAACTAAAGATTTGTGTTTCAAGCATTGATACATGATTAGAAAGAATAATTTCTCCAGCTCTGTGACCTAATAGTGTAGTGGCAGATGTTTGTTCAGAGATGCTGTCAGACTYAGCATTGGAACTAATGGACAGCAATCTCTCTGTTGGGGAAGAAAGAAGTTTATTAAATGAGAGCCAAAAAWTTTCTGATGGCTCCCCAGAAAACACTTGAGATGTTTCTTTCMAATGATGGGAAACAGTCCAGAAACTTGCTCTTAAAGAAGGGAAAATATCTACATATTTTGTTGGAAAAGCCAAGTGATCTGAGTCCCAGGAGTCACCAACTGGATTCATGTTCTCTGGCTCTAATATGGAAAAAGCTGACTCTTCATTTTCATTATTATCATGAAATGCATCTAAATTGTTCTCAAGTGCTCCATTTCTGAGGGTCTCACTTGGCTTTTGAAAGTATAATGAATGCTGTAAATAATGAGACCAGTAATTACTACTAGATATAAATATGCTGTCACTTTTCAAATATGTATCAGTCAACAGCTGTTGATAAACAGGCAGAGTTGTTACAACATGTTTAAATGTTGAGCTTGTCCAGCCTGGTCCTACCAGAAATGCTGAAAATGTTAACAGTTCTCTACTGTGTCCTTGGACTAAATTTGTCAGCTGGATGTCAGGCACAAATTTCGTGTATGTTTTTTTCATATTTTGAAAAAAAATTGTTGGGTTTGCATGTGGAATCTCCACAGAGTTTAAATTTGTAACATCTCCTGAGTGATGTTCCTTAATGTGCACGGATCCCCTAAACTGAAATGCACTGTTTGCTGCTAGTGTAGAAAATGTTTTCCTATCAGCATTGCCTTCTGTCATTTCCAGGTAAAAATTTGCAGGTGACAAGTCTAGCAAATCTAATCTATGTGTCTGGAACGGTGATTTCTCATCTGTAGATGATAGAGARAAGCCAGAAAGTGAAAGATGAACCTCTTCTTGAATGTCAGAGATGATGAGATGATGAAACAGAGTTTCGTTCCACCGGTTCACAGGCTCCAAGACATTGCTTKTATGCATGAAATTGTTTGTGTCGCTGCTGGAGGATGAAATCCGCGGAGTTTCTATTTCATGTTCGTAAGAAGCGCTGCTGCTGCTAACGGGAGAGTGGAATGCTGGCTCCGAGTCAGAATGGCCGAGCCCACTTGCCAAAGTCCATGCTAGCTCTGTATTAGGATTCCTGCTGTGAAGAACAGGAACTGCTGCGTTCACAGGCAGCTCTGTAACTGCATCTGCTGCATCAGAAGTGCCATGGAATGGACTTCTAGAATAATTCAAAACATTTTCATTTGGCAACTGATTCATCACAGTATGACCTAGGTTGATATTTTCTGTAAAAGCAGACAAGGKTTCGTTGCTGGTCTCCTCAGAAGGAGCTGATGTGGACAAGGTTGGAAGGAACAAGCTGTATGGGTTTTTTCTCTCTGGGTTCTCATCTGCTGAATTTTCACTGAAATGCAGAGGCCTTTGCTTCACTGGCCAAATAATTGGGGTTGAGATAATTCCTATCGTTTTGATCCCTTCTATCTTAGATTCTTGCTGCCTCTGTGGTCGTGAATGGGAAAATTCAGGTGAATTTCTCTTCATTCTGAAGATAACTGTAGCAGGAAGTCTGAATTCCTGCAGGTCTGTGTGTAGCAAGCCACATAGTTAATGGATCAAAGAAAATATATGTAACTTAACTCTCTATTCTTCGCTGTCTGTTCTTGGTCTAAAAATCARCTTACCAAGAATTGAAAATTATGCCTGTTAGCTGAGTGAAAGTTTAATTTTCTTCTACTGTRAGTGAATTTGGCTTATTTTCATAGTCTTTCTACTTTTTCTTATGAGTTTCAAAACTAGATAAACAACTTAACTGTCCAATTTTTATTCATACTAATATTAATAAGATTTAGTTCATTCTGYCATTAAAAAAATAAGAGTTAACTGCTCATGGGGAACATAGAGTGAGTGGCTCCACAAAAAGGAAGCAAACACTTGGAAGTAATATTTTCTTCTTGCTTCTACAGCTTATTAAAACCAAACATTTTGGATTCAGATAAATTCTTTCTCATTATGTACTGTACTGCCTGATTGCCAGTGTACAATAAATGGTCTGCCAAGAGAAAAAAATCATCCAAGAGTTTTAAATCCTACAGTAACAACTGATGGATTGGGGAAAAAAAAACACCCAACCAAAAAAAAAAAAAACAAACCAACCTAAAAACCAAACCACAAAACTCCACCCAGATTCTAACGTATTTCTGTGAAGCACACTGAAAAAAAAAATCTTAAAAAAAAAGTATATTTAAGCTTCAAATGAAATTTGCCAAAATCTATCTCTGGTTGTGTTTAACAACCATCTTTAACAAACTAATAAATATTTTAGCAGCACTAAATGTTAAAATGATGTTCAGTCTTTAGGAGACAGTGATATCACAGAATTTGAGAAAGCCTCAAAAGAAATCCTGGCTTTATTCCTGTGCTAATAATAGGTTCATTTACTGCCTAATTTTCCCCTTAATCTTCCTAAATGAAAAGTAAACGATATCTGATACTGTCAACATTTTCCCTAGTAAAGTCTGATCCAGCTCTTCTTTAAGTCAGTGGAAAGATTTCTGTTGACTCAGTGGAAGTGGCTTTGCGCCATAGGAATGGTTCCACTTGGCTTCCCCGCCTGAGGAATGGTGAGGAACTAGTGAAGAACAGACAATCCAAGCCTGCTACCACCCTGGCTGCACAAGTGGGAGCTGCACAGTCTCACATCTGCAGCCTTGAAATGCTTCAAGAGCCTGGTTCTTTTCAGACCCTCTTCAAAAATCCCTTTCCCCTCCCTTGCTCTTTGCACTGTTAAATGCAATGGGTGACACAAGGTTAGTCCCTTTCTTAGAAGAGCCAGATAAACACGATACAAATAACCCCCAGGTTTGGTTCTACTCTCATTTGCACCATTCTGACACGGTCCAGAGGTTTAGTCCTGATTTATCCGGTGTAAATGAGATCAGAACTCAGACATGACCCTTGGCATTATGATGGTAGGAAAAACACACCTTAAAATACAACAAATTTTCTTTAGACACAGTACAAGGAAAAATGTAACACAGGATTTCTTACCATTGTTTGGCTTATCGTTTCTATTAGTATCGGGCATGTTAGTGGTGACAGTGGGTGGTGTAGGAGTAGTAGCATTTACAGTAGCTGGTAATAAAGATGAGAAAGAGGTGAACTTGAATGAAATATGAATGTTAATAAGGTAAGACAAAATGGGAACAATGCATGACAATGTAAAATGAAACCATCTACACACAATGCCATAAATGTTAAATAAACACATTATTTTTTCTGTACAAAGTGATGAATAGATATGAACTGAGGGCCCAATTCTGCAATCCTCACTTGCAGTGACTTCAGCGGGACTTCTGCCAGTGCAAATTTTGCAGGATCTTTCATAAACTCCAAATCCGCTTATGAGAGCCTTAGTTGCACAAAGATCAGAAAATGTGTAAGTTCTAAGATGCATGCACTTAGAATGCTGCTTGTGAAAAGAATCRTTGTCCCTGGTCAAAGACAAACAAATGAGAAACTAAAACACCCTTGTAAGGATCCAATTAACTTCACTGATCTCCAAACAATAAAGAAAATTGAAATTAGGCTTGGAACAGGTGAAGTAGAATATCTATTTTTAAGCTTTATGTAGGAACTCAGCCGTGGTGTTCCCACTGACACCAAAACTGCAAATTTTTCCCACRATGGACAGGGAGGGTATATATCCTGGAGGAATTCAAAGATCAGGCCACCAAATTCTCAAATAATGGTTTGGAAAATAATTTAATTTTGTTCAATAACTCCCAGGAAATGCAAATCCACTCACTGATAGAATTTTTTTCCTGAAAACCCTTATTTAAAATGTGAAGGTTGGTATGGKAAAATCTCACAGTGTTACATGGCTTTGGAAGATTTTGACCAAATGTCAACCTAGGAAGGTTAAACAGTTATATTTTGGGCAAGAAATCACATTTTTTGTTTTTCCAGGTTAATTTCTCTAACCTTTTGAGCCCAAAAGTCATAACTTGTCACAGCTTAGGGAGCAGATTCATGCTCAGGTTTGAGTGAGACAAGAAAATTAGGGAAAGAGAAGAAAAAGTTGAACATGGGAGCAAACATGTTCTAAATGGCAAAGTATAGCAAGTGACACCCTGTAATGTACAAAAGCTCTTCCTTCATGCAACTTCAGAGCTATTTTGTCTGAGGAACAGGTTACAAGGCTTCTAACTGATTGTATCYTCCAGCCAATGCTGTTAAAGGAGGCATCTTCTAATGCACGAAAATATCTGCTAAGCACAATGGAGAAATTAGCTCTTTCATTAGACACAGCTGATGTAACCTGGCATTCACAAACTTTTTTATTGTTATTATTGCAAAACATTCAACAAACAAACAAAGGAATCCAAACTGGCCTCTCAGTTCAGACAAAGTCTATGGAGGAGAAAGAAATAGACAGACAGACATATTTTTGTGATTTTCACTATTATGAAAATTATGACAATGGTGCTGAGTGGGATAAACCTGATCTGGCATCTTATTCCAAAGTGACAAAATGAACACAAAGGGCACTTTACCACACACTTTTTAGACAAGGAAAGGGTATTACCTTTGTGAAAATACTCTTAGTCTTTAATGAAGATGTGATAGTCTAGGACGTTAAGAAGGCAAGTTTGAAAGTCAGCATCTTTTATTAGAGGCAATATCAACTACTAAACAAGTTAATAAAGCTGGGAAAATGAATGAGACTCTTAGAAAAGCAGGCTTGTTTTGCCAAAAAGTGTATCTACTTCTGAAGCCATCATAGCTGACGTTATGAAAGATATTCTCTCCCTTTCATACTATTTCAATGGAGGAAAACACTCAGCGATCTTCCAAAAGAATGGACAAAGATATTTATATGGTGGTACCCTTTACATATTAAAAAACTAATATTGAGTAATTGTGGAGGCTTCATTAACGCAAASTATTTGTGTAGTAGTATTTCGAACACACTGTGCTTTGGGAATATGATACCTGAAAAGTTACTGTTTGAAATCTGATTATGGACATTTATTTTGTCTCACTTCCCCTGTGGGGACCAGTACAATATGCTCCAAGAACCTGAACCAAATTTACCTCAGGAAAATCTGGGAAAAGTACACTGCAAACAGACATAGATCTCTTCCTGGCTTTCCAAGTAGAGTGCATTTTCCCTTTTATTTTTAAGCTAAATTGGATTTACTTACTGGTTTTGAAAGAGTTCTGAGAATTATTCTCCTCTTATATTTTATTCTTTCCTGTTTCTTCCCCAATTCAGCTGGAAAGATATTACAAAGCTAGATACTTTTTTTATGTAATTGTTGCTGTAATTAAAGTTTAACATATCATGCCAACACATTATAAAGGCCTGTGTTCATGAAGGTATTGTGGAAATGGGTTGAGATTGTCAAGCACTTTTTATGGAACTTCAGCCCCTGAGCAGAACAGCACAAGTTAACCATCCTTGCATGTCCACTGATTCACGTGACATGGAAAYCTGTAGGGTTCACCCATTCCTTGCACTCAACTGAGCTGACTTTTAAAGATACCTAATGAATTTCTATATGTGATGATTTTTACCAAATTAAACCATCACTAAGTGCTGTAGCATGTGTTACTTTCTCCAATAGCTGCTGAATTTTGCGGTTTGATGTTTTACCTGGTAATCTCAGAGTATCTAGCCTCAAAATAGCTTATTGAAAATAAGCCTGAATAAAAGTTAGTTCCTTTGATTTACATTTGCTCATTTTGTTTTACAGATTTACCCACTTCCTATACTGGTTCATATTTTACTGTCAAAATGTGCAGGAGAAAAAGAGGTGGAGAAAGAAATAAATGAAAGCAGTCAGTTAATTCAGTTTTGATATAATGGAGACTATTTGGAAAATGTATTATCAAGGGAGTGATCACATTTTTTCAACATATTGTTCATACAGGACACCCACATACTTGATGAGACTAAAGAATTCCTTTGCTTGCTATTTTTCATTGCCTCTCTTCCTTCCAGAATTGATAATAAAAAAGAAATGGAATAAAACCCTGAGGAAAAGAAAGATTTCCCAAAGATGAAACTTTGAAATGGATGGGTGTTTCTTACCTTGGCAAAGGCTTCCTAGGTTTGCACAACTGGTTGGTTCAATTGAAGAAGAAGGAATTAGATATGAGCCTTTAAAAGAAGAAATCAAATAAYTTAGAAAGGGTTAGTTACTGAATCTAAATCTATCATGTCTGAATACATATTATATTGTGCAGTGACACATTCCTCTTCCTAATTTCTCTCAGYGGCAAAACTGACACTGCCATTTGCCTGTAAGACTTACAAGTTTTCATTTTCTTTTGCAGCTCAGGGATCCTTGAAAATGCTGCTGACTTGCAAGATAGAGTCACTTACGTATCCTCCCATGGTTTCCTTAGCTTGCACTAAATAACATCACATTAAAGGAATGCAGTTTGTGTGTCCTCTGTGAAATGGGTTTAAGCAAAGGGGTCAGCGTGGCCACGGGATTTATGTGATCTTTGTAACTGCCCTCTGCTGCTGCAGCACAGGTTACCCACCACACACTTGTGAGTAATCTGCCTGTGACAGACACCAGCCAGATAAAAGGTGATTAAACTTGTTCCTCTGCCCAGGGCGAGGGTGTGATTTGTATTCTGGTATGCGTGATTTCTAAACAGATAATGTTATAAGTCTGTGTCTTTACAGAATTATTCATAACAGCAAGCATTACACTGATGATCTGGAGACAAAATCAAGGCACACGAGAATGGCTACAGAAAAAGAACTGGTGCAACTGCATTAATTGCACTTCACATATCCCAGAGGTTCAGCTGCAAATACAGCTGCCTTTACACACTCTGTTGAAAATAATAGGACCATAGAGCTCTGGCAAAATATGAACCTACTATGAGTTCTGCCCTTTTGGCTTTTGCTTTACCACTTCAGAATCATACTGACTCAATGAGGTTGTCTCATGAAACAAAACTATCCTTCCATAAAATTAAATAGCCACCACCCCCCAGCTTGTAAAGA